AGAGAGAGAGAGAGAGAGAGAGAGAGAGAGAGAGAGAGAGAGAGAGAGAGGGAGAAGAGGAGGGAGAAGGGGTACGAGCGAGAGAGAAGAGGAGGGAGAAGGGGTACGAGCGAGAGAGAAGAGGAGGGAGAAGGGGTACGAGCGCGCGCGCGCGAGAGAGAGAGAGAGAGAGAGAGAGAGAGAGAGAGAGAGAGAGAGAGATTTCCTTGGAACTTGGTGTGTGAGAGTTAAAAGTGAAGGGTGGATGGAACTTGGGGGTATATTTATGTAGTCGTCTCTTCATGAAGAAATCTTGTCCGGTCTGTTGCAGCGAAATAGTGAAGATGAACGAAATAGTGAACGATGAAGAGAACTTGGGGGTGAATGTGTGTTAACTTGGGGGTGAATGTGTGTTGATCTTTCCATGTAGATATCTCCTCCAGTCTGTAAGTGTTATGTTACTTGTTGCATTGTACACCACGTGAATCAGTATGCTATCGCAGTCATGTCTGTGACATTCCTTCACTGTGATGACGAACTGCAATATTTAGAAACATTGCATTGTCAGGAAGTTTTTATTTCCTAGGAAGTACATGTAGGACTTTCAGAACTACCGTCTTCCCCCGAACACAACGCACCCTTATTTTGGCTGTATCTGGTCGGAAATATAGCTTGTATACATTCATTTTTAGGGTGTGTTATGTTCGGGGGAAGACGGTAGCTGTTTGGCAATTGAAGTACACACATTGAGGTATGGAACGGGTGTCGAGACATATGGGTCAAGTCCCAATGATGTGTTGCACACTGCACTTTTCTTAGTAGCTGGCAATGGTTTGTTGTTCCTTCGAGCGGAAGCTTCTAACTGTGGTTGACTTGAATAGAGAAGGCTGCATCCTGGGCAATTATACCCTTGACGACGTTTTGTCACCGTTACATGTGCATGCGTAGTTAGCCCATAACTTTTGTAGACACAGTTGCAACGGTGAAGAAAGGAGCTCGAGGCGAAGGATGTGATGCCGTCTCACAAGACACAATGCCAATTACATAACAGGATGGCTGCAGTGTAGGGGATGAGAGGATTGATGATCCCTCTGATAGGGTTGAAGCAAAAGTTGGGCATGTGTCGACCCAGAGCGAGGAGAGGACGAGGCAATCCCTGCTGCTATCTCTAAATACTGCAATACGCCAAAGTCGATGGGTTCCGCTACCCATAGAGGATGGACCAGTAGATGCAGCGGCGACAGCTCCACCGAAAGGGAAGGTGAAGGACCCAACAACAGTAAGTCGCCAGAGCAGATAATAGTATGGAAAACGTTGGGACGGGCGTGTGAGGTGCGACCATTATGGATATGCAAAGCAAAGGCGGCTCCCCAAAAACTCATTTATCCCCATGGCAGGGCACCAACGAACATGTCGGCAGAGAGTAGAGACCGTGCATGTTGCTGTCCAGTGCACATATGTCGCGGGGAGAGAACACTGTACAGAGCAGAGTTTCATACACTTCCCAACCTAAGTTGGTATAACCTGCCCGCTTCCACTGTAGAATCACGATAGGGCGATTGCCATGCCTTGGTATAACCTGCCCGCTTCCACTGTAGAATCATGATAGGGCGACTGCCAATTTGCCATGCCTTGTTGTTCCCCGGCGCTGTCCAGTTGCCTGAAGGTGTCATAAAGAGGAGGGAAGAGGGTGATAAGAATAAATAGGCTGCAGTCGAGAAATTGTCAAGAGGGTGATAAGAAAAAATGGGCAGCAGTCAAGAAAGTGGCAAAAGCAGGGGCACTGCTCGAGGAGGGAAGAGGGTGATAGGAATAAATGGGCTGCAGTTGAGAAGTGGCAAAAGCAGGGGCATTGCTCGATGAGTCCAACAGAGAAGAGCATGTCAATAACAATTGACAAATAGATTATTCTCATAATTCATCAAAACAAAGGGAAATAATTGTTTTGTTGGTTTAGGTGATTGATCCTGTTGGAAAGAACGTTCAATGTCTCGTATGAATTTTTTTTATTTTTTTATTTTTTTAAGCATCGAACTTCTTTTTTTTTTTTTTTTTTTACAGAAACAGTAGTTTTATCAGGCCCTAGTGCCCAAGGCAGAAATACAATGTCAAAGAACTGCATGCTAAGCAGCGACATAAACCGTGCAACATCTGTTTTAATCGAAGCCCTACATCCAAACATTCAAACAATTATATGCTAAGCAGCGACATAAACCGTGCAACATCTGTTTTAATCGAAGCCCTACATCCAAACATTCAAACAATTATAAGAAAAAAAGTAATAAAATTATAAAACCCTTAATTTTGTTTTTCACAATTACGGGGACAACAAGCATGTTCGAGGATGGGACCCATGTCACTTAAACCACCAGTACCTTCTCAACCTAAATCCCTTTTTTTTTTTTTTTTTGGACAAGCTATTGACCCTTTTTTGTATGACTGCGTGTAACCTTGTATGACTGCGTGTAACCAACGACTAGTAGAAATACATACGGGTTTTCCAATGAAAGAAACCAGTCCTTTTATGTTGGTTGTTATCCTTTCTTTTTTTTATTACTGTTGATTTTTCCTTTCTATTACCCCCTTTGTATCATCCTTGTGTAGGACCCTGGTGGTCTCCTTTGTATCGAGCCAAATTGTTTTGCACTCTGGACAGTTAAGTTTCCCACTCACCAGGCGTGGGTCGGGAGCTTCGTCCGGACTCGCAAGATCGGTGTCCCTGATCCACCACTTCAAACCTAAAAACGGAAAAATTAATGGCATGCCATGTGTTTTTTTTTTGTGTTTTTTTTATATATAATATAAAGAGAAACACTCGTGGCCTTGTCCCAAGACGTGAAAAGAGGAGACTTTGGTGATTCGGCGTCCAGTCTATTTGGTGGGGAGTTGCATCTGTTGAAAATTGGGCCCAGCATCCCTAGAGTAAAGGAATAAAGAGTTCGCTTCGTTAAACCACCAGTAATTCCTAGAGTCGTGCACGATTTTAGGAAGCGTACGGGCTACTACAGGAGCGCCCAAATTCATCCGACTAGAAACATTTCTAGTGTTTTTTTTTTTTATGCGGCCGATAGCTGGCTCAAGTACTGGTGGTTTAAAGAAATATCCTATGTCATGAAGGGCGTCATCCCCCTCAGGGCTCCGAATTTTCTGCAATCGGGAGACTCCATCCTGTACCCAGTCACCTTAGTGGTCGCTTAGCCTCTCAGGATCACCCCTGTACCCAGTCACCTTAGTGGTCACTAAGCCTCTCAGGATCACCCTTCACTCCTTAACGTTTCCCCCGTACTCACCATCCTTCCTTCCCGCCTCCCCCGCCCCTTCTGTTTCGGCCCATGTACTTTTTCACCGTGCCCCTTTTATTTTCCTCTTCGGATCCTTACATGCCTCGTGTATGTTTTCCCAACTTTGCTTGCTTACCTGTATGGTTTCTTATTCTTTCTTGCATTGGGCAACAGTAGTCTGAATAATCTATATCTATATAGCCACAATTTAGTAGAAGGTTCATTTTCATTTTACATAACTAATTTAGCAGTAGTATAACACCTTGACTGGGTTTGGAAGACCATTCCCCTTGCTTTACTCCTCACCGAACTTATTAAAAAAAAAAACTAACGGCATTGCATGTTTTTTTCTTTTTTTTTTTAATAATTTTTCCACCCGTTCGTGTCGTTTTTGTTAGGGTTATTCTCTTCTTCTATTCAACCACATTCTAATGCGGTTCATTCTCAGGTCTGCTTGGTTTTGTCAAGAGTTTGTTGTCTGTGTTCTTCATATACGGAAGTTTTCTTTCCCTTTACAAACTTTTTTTTAAAACTCTTTTATTTCCATCTTGTTTTTTTTTTGGGGGGTTTGTCGTCTTAGTCACTCGTTTTCGATTTCAAAATGAGCGATTGCCGCATATGTATCAAGGGTTTACCCAGCCTCCATTGAGCCTGCCCCAGTCTCACCTGGGAACGGTATTTTTTGCTTGGACAAGGTATTGGGAATGGTATTTTTGCCTGGACGAGGTAGTACTGGTTTAGTATTAATGTCAAAGTTAAAATACATGTTATATTTTTTATCTTTTTCTCCATGTTATCATTACAATTAAAAACCTTACAAAACGTTTGAAGAAAAATCTGATCCCCTTTTCAGCCTGCATATCCTCTTACCATTTTTCTACTCTAACATTATCAAGTCAAACTTAAAGCAGAAAACTCAATGGTGTAAAGATTGTCAGCTCCCTAAACGATTGTAATTGTAAATTTTAGTGCATCCAAGGTGACGTAGGAGCAGTCAAGGGACAAGCAAACACATGTGCACCAATCTTGTTTAGATTTTGAAATGCAGCTTTATAAAGAGGAATGATTCTAATCAAATAGCCAGTTTTTCGAAGAA